CCTGGGGGTCTTCAAGAGGAGGTTAGATAAGCATCTAGCTGGGGTCATCTGAACCCAGCACTCTCTCCTGCCTATGCATGGGGTCAGACTCGATGATCTATTGAGGTCCCTTCCGACTCTAACATCTATGAATCTATGATATTAATAAGAGGGGGACTGAATTCAACCAACAGAAAATCTGACTCCTTTTCAGCAGTTAGCATCATTCTTGCGCAAAACACATAAAAAATAGCGTTTGGTGTATGTGCTCAGTTTTTCAAGTACGTTTACTTCATAGCACATGCTTATGCCAATGCAAGCACACTTGCAGTTATCCACATTGCACAACTGTAGACAGGTATGGCCTGAATAATGACATCCAGCTGATGTGCATGTGTCTAGCTCTAGAACTGATTTGTGGTATATATTGTGGGATTACTCATCTTCCCTTCACGGCTCCAAGGATGGAAGCAATTTAGCCCACCATCACAAACAGCTGAAGTTCTGGCTGTGCAAACTTGGCCAACCAAAATGAAGGGGCAGTGACAAGCCACAGATAATGTTTTTCCTGAAAAACCATTTCCAAAATCTTGACGGAGAGAGCTGATAACAAGAAGTTTTTGCATGAACATTACTCTCAAAGTTGGCTACCCCAGATTGCAATTGGTTTGTAATGCTAGTTCAGTGCTAGCAAGCTAGCTGTGGTGAATGTTTTGTGACAGTTTTCTTAGAAGTGGTTCATCAGCAAGGGATGTCTGAAATAATGTTGTTTACAAAGAACAGCCGGGGCGGGGGGGTGTCTCAGATTGCGCAGGAGCCATTGTGGAAACGCATGCCTGTCATCTGTCCTCCTAAAGAAGCAAGTGAAACATGAACCACAAGGTAGTATTACTTGCTGGGTCTTCAGGGGTTAGTGACCAACATGGACAGGTTCATGAACACCAAGGTGGGAAGTGCAAGGAAGTGTACAATACCAGAATACTGAAGAAATCAGGCAGTTACATGCTTATACAAAAGGGGGTTCTTATTTCCTCCTGAGAACATCATCAGTGGAAGGATCAATATTCATTTATTTTGGGGGACCAACTCTATTCAGCAGGGGTCATGAAACAGTAACCTGACTATGTATGTTTGGGGCAATAAAATTCAACTACAGTACATGACTAGCAGTTGTAGGACTATAGTGGAGTGTGCATTTAGGTTGAAAACAAGAACCTATCTACAGAGATGTTTGGGTGCCAGTCTTGCAAAGGCCATGTATACAACTGTGACCTGCTATGGTCTGCCCAACATTTAAAAGGCTCAAAGTAGGCATTTTTGCCTGGAATGGACCCAAGACCCACATGGCTTCCTGAACCAATCCAAGCAGCCAAAAACTGCACCCAACAATACTAGCTCAGGCTCAGGGAAGTCAAGAGTTAGAAAGAATGCCGCATGCCCAGAGTCAGGCTAAGCAGCTTGAAGTCTGAGAGAGTATTTGGGAGTACTCTTGATAACATCTGACAGAGCAACAGGATGTATTTTTGTGCATATTATTTTGTTTTCAAAATAAAAGGTTAGGGCACTGTAAGATTAAGATTTTTACTTACAAAAATGTTTGCCAAATGCTTTTATAGTGACTTACTTGTTTGCTTCTTTTTTGTCTGTTGTAATTGTTTTAATATATCTCTATGCTTGGGGGGCTTTGGATAGCATGATTCCATACAATTTGGGTTTCAAATTTACTTATACTTTCACATAAAATAATTTTATTGCCTACAGTATTTCCCTTGTTTTCCTTCTCCTGAAACTGTGTCTAGCATACATTATACAGAGGTTGAGAGCATCGGTACTGTTTACTTTTCCCAGTTCCTGGAATTTACCCAAGACCTTTCCAAATCTTTCATTGCTGGTCATGTGAGATAGCGAGCTTGTGAGTTTGAAGACACAAGCACATGCAGATGATGGAGCCTCTTCAGAAACAAGACTGAAGGGATGCTCTATGAGCAAATGATTGTGGTCCCTTTAATAATTTCTTTCCTTGCCTTCCTGCAGAAGCAGGTGAAATGTGAACCACAAAGCAAAACCACACCATATTTCTACAGAGTCTGAGGAATCTCTCCCTTCCTCCCATACCAGGTCTATTTCCTTGTGTTTCATTCCCCATCACTTTCCTTTATTTTTCTTGTAGCTGGCCTTCTATTCACTCAGCCTTCTAAAAAGGAACATTGGCTCTTCTGATCTGGAAGTACCTGTAAAAGACTACATAAGGTTTGGGGTTGGTTTTATTTACAACCCACACATGCCCATAGGTACAAAAGAGAAGAGCCCCCTTGTTTCCTGCATCAGCATATGACCCATCTGATACAGTGCTGTATTGAGCAATGGTGGGATTGTCAGTTAGGAGCAGGGATCCTGGTTTTCCCCATTTTTGTTTTTTTTTTAATCGCAAAGTCTCTGACAAAAACCCAAAATCCATTATTAAAATTAAAGGCCCCCAACAGCCCCGCTGGTGCCCCTCACAACAGCCCCCCAGCCCTGTACATGCAGGCACACACCCCAGCAGGTAAGTGTGCATGGGGTGGGGGGAAGGTGTCTGCATCCACTCCCAGGAGCAGGGCTGGGGGAGGGCAAGGGCAGCTGTGCTTCTGTGAGCCACACACAGGTGGCTGCCACCGCACCACACTGCTGCTCCTGCACCTTGCACTGCCTTCCTGGGGCCAGCCACATGGCTCTGCAGGCAAGCTCCATGGGCACAGCTCTGCAGTGGTGGCAGCTGTGTGCTGCCTGGCCAACTGGGGGGAGGGGGAGGTTTGCACATGGCAGCTGCCACCACCCAGCTGCCACACCCCACACCGCTTGCCTGTGGAGACATGCAGCTCATCGCAGGAAGGCGTCACAGGGCACAGAGCACCCCCACCAGCTGGGCAGCACGTATGCAGCCCACACACAGTGGCTGCACAGCTTACCTGCGGAGCTGTGCCCATGGAGCTGTGCAGCTGGCTGCAGAAAGGCCGCACAGCAGCAGAGGTGTGGTGCAGTGGTGGCTGCCATGTGTGAACCCCCACAGCTGGCCAGCCAGCTAAGAAGGAAAATATGGGAATGCACCAGGGGAGAAGATGCTGCCATGTTCTAGGGTGTGCTCCGACCCTGCCTGCCTGGGCTGGAGGAGGGGGAAGGTGTTGGGGAAACCTCCACATGGAGTGTCCACCCAGCCGGCGGGTACTCCATGTCTTTCCCCAACTTCTCCTCACTCCCTCAGCCCCTAGCCGGCTTCCCCCCCAGCCCTGCCCCACAACCCCCAAGCTCTACTTACCTTAGGCTCCAGGGGGGAATAGTGAGCCTGAGAGCAGCCTTGGCTGACTGAAAGGCCCAGGCCCTGCCCTTCTGTCTCTCCCCTCCCCCTCCAGGCAGGGCTGGGGATTTCCCACCCCTTTTGCAAACTGCTCTTGCAGGCTGGAACTCAGCCAGCCTGCAGAGCTCTTTGCAAAAGGGGGAAATCCACAGGTTTCTCTGATAAAACGGAAAATCCACATTTTCTCCGATTAAAAAAAATGGAAATCCATGGTTTTCTCTATGGGAAACGGAAAACCCAGATCCCTGGTTATGAGCTACCAGACCCTGCTTCTCCAAAATCAGCAAGGTACCACACACTGCTCACTAAAAAGTTTAAGTTTGCTACTGAGGTCCGCATCAATTCATGCTTCCACAGAATTGTAATCCATGCAGACCTCCTAAGCAGTGGTCTGATAGAAGTGGTGGTTTTGCAAAAAAACCCACCAAACCCCACCCCCCATCTCACCTCTACCTAGACAGCTTCCTTTGACCAGACCAAGCCAGAAAAGACAGATGATTTGTAGGTATAGCCCTAAGAAATGTAGGTCAACAGACAGAGCTGTAATTCTGGATCAAGACAACAGTTAAGAGTTATAGAAGGAGTCCTTGAGAATTTAACATTTTTAAACCATGCCTTCCTGCATAGTAACAAAAGATGGGCAGGCAGCACTTGGCTGAAATTCTGTTCCCAATCTCTGTGCTTCTTATTCACTGTGGGTGTTAAAAGCAATTGAAGGCAAAGGATCAGGTCCATTTTTAGTATTTTAAATGACGCAACATATTTAATCATGTTTATTCTCAGGTGCCCATAGCAAACAATGCGGTCAATGTGACGGTTTCTGGATTACATGTAACATCATCATACATTGCACAGCTCAGATGCATACCCAATGATGAACAACACTGTGTCTGCGTTTGGAGCAGAGAGGTGGTGGTCCCTCATAGTAAGTGTCATGTGGCTCTTCTTGTTAGGCTTGGCAAGAAGGAAGCTGCACTTCCAATTATTGCATAAGACTATGTTGTGTTTGCAGATGTTATTGAAAGCGTCAAAATCACATTGATTTTGTTTGAGTTTACATTCCCCGTCTCTGTTCACTAGAGCTGACTGAGAAGCCAATGATTTCATATACCACAATCACTGAACTCCCTCCAGGAAGAAGAAGTGTATTTCTTAAGTGGAAGGTATTTTGTTTTTGTGTTTGTTTGCAAAAATTATTTTTGAAGGAAGGAATGGGAAATTTTGTTCATCATATTGAAATTGCACCATAATTTATTCTCTATGCAAGAAAAAAAACACATTAGACAATTATACACCTCTGCACTGGCAATTCATAACAGTACATACATAAAATTTGTTCAGTTACATATTATGGTGTTTGAGGCTAGTAATTAAGATTGGTGCCATGTGGTGAACTTAGAGAATGCTTGAAGAAGTAAACACCTGAAACCATTGACCAGAATAAAGAGTCTTTGCATTCTACACTGCTATTTGCGTACTTGAATGCTCAAGTCTCTCTCGCTCAATTCATCTCAAAAAGCTCCTCAAGGTAAACAGACCTGAAACTGCAGAGTTAAAGAGTTATTTTATCTTCTGAAGGAAACTTCTTATTTCTAAGTGAAACTCAAACTTTTTGAAAGAGCCCAGATTTAGGTTTTCTGGAAACATCTTCCAAGTTTTTAAAATTAAAATCTGGATACAACGTAGGCGGTAAAGCAAACAAGTGTCCACATACAAAATAACAGAAAGAGTTGCCTAGCTGCATATTAACATAATGTCAGTAGCAATTCCAATGCTGAAGTGCCCCCTTTTCTGCAGTGGGCATAATGAACATCAGTAGATAGATCACTGCACGGCACACCTTTTTAATGATGAAATGAAACTGTCCTGATAAAATGTGGTCACAAAAGTGTAGGAGTAATTAATCTGACCATCTTGAATATATCTTCAAAAGGACATTTTGATGAGCCAGTAGCTAATGGAGGTTTCAAGGTTTGCATTCCCAACAAGGAAACTAGTGCTTTTAAAAACCTAAGTTCTAATTTGAAAATTAATTCCTTTTCAAAATGAAAAAATAAAGTAAAGGCTTCAAATTCTAAACCTGAGAAGTATGTCACAAGTGAAGCCTAAGGTCATAGTCAGGCTAGACTAAGACAAACACTTGTCTTATGAAACAATATAGCATGAGGGTGTAACGAAGTCTCACCCCAGGGGAGGCCATAAACCCTTGGAGCCCCCTCATTGCCTTTACTTCCTTTGGCAGATCTCCCATTCCACCACCTGCCACACCTTGAAGTAATTATACTTTTAGGAAAAGGGGAGGCTGCCCCAGGGCTCCCCAAGCAAGATCTCATACTCATGAACCCAGATGTCACTGCTCATTGCCTTAAAGCATCTTTGCCAGCCTCCTAATCTCCATTTTTAGCTACACCCAAACTTTGCAGATGTTACCAATCATTTGCTCATCATTGGACTTAGGCCTACATTCTCTGCCCTTCCAGGGCTCAGGCCTCTTTACCTCCAACAGACACTGCCCATCCTGGGTTTTACCTACCCTACTCAGCTGTTAGTCAGGAGTCTTGCTGCAGCCCTTTTGCTCTGGGACTCTTTTCTCCATAGCTTCCAGGTAAAACTGCCTATGCAATTCAGGCCCTGGGCTTATATCATACAAGCCCAGCCCCTTCTGGGTCACGTGGCTCCCTTAATTGCCTTTTGCCTTCCCTGCAGCCTGCCTTCCCTAAAATACAAAAATATAAAAATACAGGGGAATTTTTATATCTTTACAAAATTGCTTGCCTTTTAGCAGGGAATGATGAGCAGGTGAGGAGTCTAAACTGGATGTAGCAATTCATTTTTGATAGTGTGGTCAACAGTACATACAAACGTGAATGTAAAGCTAAAGGGAAAAAATGTTCCTAGCATGAGAATTTTGAGTTAGGCTCAGAAGATCTTATCTTCTAAGAGACATTACCTCAGAAAAAAAATTAAATTAATCTCTATTAAACTGGGAGACTTAAGAACATTTCTTGAAATGCAGATTCTTTAATGAATCTTTAATGAAATCTTTAATGAATATAGAAGTAGAAGAGATGTTTTTTTCCCAGACTTTGAATTGAGCATAAGGGGAAACTTTCCTGCCCCATTCATTTATGGAGATCTAAAAAAAAAAAGACAATTTAAGACACTAGAGTCTAGACTGGGGTGGGCAATTATTTCATCTGGAGGACCACTTAATGACTTTTGGTGAGTTGTTGAGGGCCACAAGGGTAGCCCAATCCCTTGACAGGCACCCCACCACCCGATTGCCATGTTGGGACCAGAAGTCCCACACCTAAGCCCTGATCTTTACCACCAGAAGTCCGCCCCTTGCCCCCAGAAGTACTCCTCTTGGGAGTGGGGTTTCTACCTTGGAACCAGAAAAAACTAATCACATACTAAAAATCAAACACTTACTGTAACATATTTTAATTTTATTTTAAAAAATATTTTTGTCCTGATTTACATGTGGGCATATATAGAGGTGATCACATAATAGCTCAAAATAAAGTCTTATTCTTGTATATTGTGTGTGTGGGGTTGTAGGGGTGCATGTGAGGGGATTTGTAGGGGGTGCGTGCGTGGAGGGGATTTTAGAGGGATTGTGAAGGGATTTGGGGGGTTGTGGGTGTTTGTGTGGAGGGTGGGGTTTGTGGAGGTGCGGAGTTTGTGGAGTAGTCTGTGGGGTTTGTGTGTGGTCTGTGGGGGTTGTGGGTTGGTATTGGGTTCATGGGGGTGTGTGAAAGTGTGTGGGTGGGTTTGGTTGTGGAGTTCATGGACTCCCCGCCCCACTCTCCGCCAAGGCACACAGACCTCGTCACCTGCTGCAGCAGCAGGTAGCAGCAGGCCCTTGGGGCACTCCTGGCCCATGGCAGGCAGAGCCCCGCAGCAGTGCATGGGCCCAGCTGAATCTTGGGAGCTGCACATGGTGGCACGAAGCTGACCCAGTCCAGCCCGCTGGTGCACACCTTTGAGCCAGACCAGGCTGGCTCTATGCCAGCACACAGGGCTCTTGGAACTGCAGACAGGAGCCATGCACCATCAGACCAGGCTGGCTCCACGCCTCCATGTAGGGCTTCCAGCACTCTAGCAGGCAGCTGCATGTGGAGGCACAGAGCCTGCCCAGCCCAATGATCCGTAAACTGGGAACCATGGAGAGTCACACACCATTGGGCTAGTCAGATTCTGTGCTTCCATGTTTGGCTCCCCGCTGGAGTACAGGAAGCCCCACATGGAGGCACAGCGCTGGTCCATCCCAACCCAATGGCATGAGGCTCCCATCTGCAGTGCCAGAAGCCCCATGTGCTGGTATGGATCCAGCCTGGTTTGGCTCAAAGGTGCGTGCCAGTGGGCCAGGCCAGGCCAGTTTTGTGCTGCCACATGCAGCTCCTGGGATTCAGTCAGATCCATGCACTAGAGCCAATGCACTTTTCCTGGAGAGGGCCAGGAGCACCTTGGGGGCCCACTGCCCACTGTTGCTGCTGCATCATGGCAGGGAGGTGCACACCTACCCACAAACCCCACACCCATCCCCACTCCTGCAGGCATGAGCTCCCCTCCCCACTGACCACCTGTTCAGTTGTGCACCATTGCTTGGTGCCTCCATATATGACACCCAGATGGAGTGCTGGGAGCCCCATGGAGGTGGAAGCACAGAGCCTGCCTGGTGCAATGGCACACAACTTCTGAAAGCCTGTTCCCACCGGCTTTCAAAGGGCAGCTGCAAGCTGGTAATAATTGTTTTTTGGAGGAGCACCATGGGCCAAATAAAATGGCCTGGCAAGCCAGATCTGGACTATGGGCTGTATTTTGCTCACCCCATCCTAGAACCATATCTGCAATTTTCATGGCTGTATCAAATTAGAGCAGTGGTGCTCATACATTTTGGCTAGCAGATCAGATGGGCAGTGCCTAGGGCTGGTGTGGCACGGTGTCCCACATGAAGGAGGAGAGGGGGTATGGCCCAACCCCATGGGGAGGGAGTGGGGGGGAGGGTCATGGCCCAGCTCCATCCTAGCTGCAGGGAGGGAAAAGGGCATGGCCCAGCCCAGATTTGGCCATGCCAGGGGGTAGAGGCCGCATGGCTTGGCTCCAATCCACTGTGTGGACTTTGGCAGTGGGGGAGTGTGGCAATATTAATTACTGCTGCTCCCCTGCCACCAAATTTCCCAATCCATTGGGAGGCCCACGGGCCAGATGTCATGGCTCTGCAGGCCAGATTTGGCCTGTGGGCTGGAGGGTGAAAACCCCTGCATTACAGCAGTGATTGATCCTCAACCAGAGTGCTGTGAGAACCCCGTCAGGGTACTGTGATGCAGGTGTCACCACTGCCATGGCAGCAGCTAAATAAAACTGCCCTGCATACAGGGCTGTGGCACACTTGCACCCCTCCTGCATCAAGGTTCTCTGATAACCCTTAAGCAGGCTGGAGAGCAGACTTCCTACAGCTCTTCCTGGTACAGCCCCTAAAAGAGACATGTGGGACAGTTGTACCTGTTTCCAGGAGACACTCTGCAGGGTTAGATAGGGAAGGGCTGCAATAGCACCCAACTCTCTGGCCTGCTTTAGGCTCATCAAGGAACCCTAATGCAGGATGAGTGCAGGCACATAGTTTCATAGTTGGTAGGGTTGGAAGAGACCTGAGCAGATCATCAAGTCCAACCCCCTGCCATGGCAGGAAAAAGTACTGGGGTCAAACGACATGCCACAGCCCTTTTGGTTTTAGTGTGCAGCAGGAGTGTGGGACAGTTTTATCTGGCAGCAGTGACACCAAGTTGAGAAGCACTGAAGTAAAGTTGAATACAACAGTGGTTCAACTGGAGATACTGCCATATTCTGGAGGGTGCCACATTGTGGAGGGTGCCCTGACTGAAAAGGTTGAGAATCACTGCATTCGAGAGGCTCATAATCATGTGATGAACTAGTACACCCAGCTTCTTTTTCATCGCAACTATTTCCAGCCAACTGTTCCAGCTAATAGCAGAACTTCTTGTAATTTGTTACCAAGTACATGACTTAATTTTGTACTGTTAATCTCATCCTGTTTCTATCACTCCAGTTCTCAAGATAATTCAGTTCTTCCTGTATGACATTCTGACCCTCCTCTTTATTAGTTCCCAATTCCATGCCATCAGCAAATTTCCTCAGCATAGTTCCAGTCTTCATACCAAGGGCATTAACTAGTAAGATTGGTCCTAGCAGTGATCCCTCTTCCAATGTGATAGCTCCCCATTCACCACAACCCTTTGCCATCCTTCCTCAACCCAGTTTCCTTCTCCTCTATGTTAACTAATATATTCCCAAATGGTCCTATAGCAAATATCTTACTGTAGCCCAGAAAAAGGAGATTTGCTATGTTTCTCTCATCTAGAAAATCTGTTATTTTACCAAGTTATTTTGGCAAAATCTACTTTTGATAAGCTCATTTTGTTCTTAATCCCATTTTCCATTTAACATCATATACTCAATTATTCTTTACTCAAAGGCTTGTTCTAAAGCTTTGTACAATATTGAGGTCAAACTAGCAGGCTAGTCTGAATGGATTCCCATTTCCTAAATGTAGGTGCTATATAAAAAGCCACCCCCAGCATAAAAGACATGCAAAACTCTAGAACACTTGGTTCAGAAATGATACCTTTTATTAGATCAACTAAGAAATCACAAAAAAAATATTTTTTCTGCAAGCTTTCGGGCACACACACCCTTCCTCAGGCTCAGGGAAAATTAAAGATGGTAAAAATTCCCTAAATACATACCCCCAAATAATATATTTGTTAAAAATGCCTATGACCAAGCCTGAGATCATAACCCAGTGCATTAAGCTTGTGTGTTTAGTGTTTAACTTTCACCACAGTTGTGGTTTCTATTTTCATACCCTCATTGCTATGATCTCTTTTGGGGATTACTCTGTCGATTGTACTAAACAACTACTACCTAACAAATAGTATCAATAGATACATGACATTTTCAAAATGTAATTTAAGTTACTGAGGCTCACCTTCCCAACAGAAGTCCAGATGACCTATAGAATCTAGGAAGCTAAACTGATTATCAACATATAATTAAACACCTAATTCTCATTAACTTTCAAGTTCCAAATTATCAGACTTACATCTCCAGTGGAGTGTACAGAACTTTATAGCTGCTTTATCACTATTAGCATTAATTGGATATTCCTAGACACAGTTCCAATTAAGCAAAATACATAATCATGCATTTAAGCTTTATTGACTCCTATGAAACTTAAGAACATTATAATTTTAAGCAAGTGCTAAATTAGTTCCTACTTCTTGAATCTCCTTTTGATGGACAGACATTTAGCACAATGACATTTTGTTTCTTGACACATACTTTCATACGTGACTTATAACTTACTATTTTGCAACAATGGTTGTAATTTGATATTTGTAGGATATAATATTTGATATTTGTAGGATACAATGGCTGATTGTTCAGTAATAATTTATTTTTACATCAGACAACACAAAACAGGAACGTCATTGGATACTATGTTAATGTTGAGAGGATACCCAACAGTTGCAACAAACCACCAAGTCACATCAGCCTGACAGAAGAGAAACTGCATCTAAATCTCTCCATGGCTTATTATAGGCTAAATATTTCTGCCTATAATGCAGCAGGAGAATCTCCACAGACCACTTATATTGTTCCAAATTTCACTACAACAGGTACTTTTATTACTTATTCAGTAGACTGGTGAAGAAGTTTCACAAGTGTTCTTTTTGGGCAACTGTCTTCTGTCACAAAAAGCCTTTGGTGAAATACATATATTATTTCTCTCAACTCTTCTTTTTAGAGCTTTTATCTTTGCAGGATTCCAGGATCCTTCATCTTTCCAGGATTCTATGGAAACTGGCCAAGAGCCAGTTTAATGGAACTATGAAAACAGTTTGTTTCATTTATCATTTACCACAATGTAGTTAATGGCCTGCAAGGATAAGGACACTCAAGGAACTGTGTCATCACTTCAAACAGGAAAGCTGAAGAGTTAACTGTTAACCAGACAGATGTATTTCAGCTAGGCTGTTGAACTGATTAACTAATATTGCCATGTATTTCCTATACTATTTGTGCTCTGATGTGTTTGTAGCTGTATGCAGTCTATATCAGTGATTCTCAACCTGGGTGATGTAGCAAACCAGGGTGCTTCCAAGATTTTTTCAAGTGTGCCTTGACTTAAAGAAAGGGTGCCTTGAGTCTAAAAAGGTTGAGAACTACTGATCTAGATGAACACTAGAGAAAAGATATTTTACAACAGACAAGGACAATCTAGCACCTTGAATAATTACAATTAAGTTTATAATGATTTTTTTCTCTAAGCATTCTTTATTTTCCCATCTTCTATCAAATTTCACTTGAGCACAGTTGAAATATAACACCAAAGGGGGAAGGGATTTGAAGACATCAGACCCTTCCAAATGAAAAACTAAGAAAATGTGACAGGTGTGATCATTTCTGTGCCTGTAGACACTCGCCTAAATATGTGTAGCACATTTGAGCCCCAGGAGCAGCCATGACGGCCCCTGGTGGCCACGTATTTCCTGCTCTGCTCTGGCTCTAGAGTACCCTTCCTTCACTTTTCCTGCCACACCTAGATGTACTTGGTTGATTTTGTTTGAAGGGGAGGTTGCCCCAGGGTCCTAGAGCGAGCCCTAGTCCTTCCTTCTGCCAGCGGATCCCTCCCAGACTCAAATCCTGTCCTCCTGACCTATCCATACCCAAAGGCACCTCTTGCCTTATGGGCAATTCATGACCTCCAGCTGCCCTCATAGTCATGCCCATGCCTCACAGATGTTATTGATCAGTCACTCTCATCAGACCTCTGTAGGCCTCTCCATTCTCGATGGGGCCTCAGGCTTTCCAGCCTCCACCTTTTAGCTTCTTCTAGCTGGGCCCTTTGTAGCCCAGGCCCACTGTGCTGACCTGGCTTCTCAGGCTCAGGGCCCCCTGGGCCTGGTGCCCACCCTTTTCGGGCTCTTGGCTCCCTGGGCCTGGTGGCCACCCCTCTCGGGCTCCAGGCCTGTCTGGCTACCACCTGTGCTAGGCTTCAGCCTTTTTCTAAGCTTCTGCCACCCTTTGGCTTAAGCCTGCTCTGTATCCTGAGCCTGGGCCCCTGGTAGGACTCAAAACTCATCCTGAGCCTGGTGTGCCCCTGGGACACTGATGTGGGCTAACCAGAATGTGCTTTTCAGGTGCCTTGCTGTGGCCTCCTTATATGCCCCTACAGCCATACCCAAACCACTGGTTAACTAGAACACAAAATATACAAGAAATTACTTCAGCTCAAGGTTTCCCCACTCTGGGTCACTGTCCCACTGCCAGGCCACCCTCCCACTCTCCAACTCTGTCATGGACATACTTGGCATGCCTGCAGTTTCCCTCTTCTCACCAGCCTGAGCTGACAGGAGCTCCTCTCTTGGCAGAGTTCGGGGCCATGCTACCCGTCTGCTTCAGGAAGCCAGGTTATATTCTCTGGGCTCCTCTTCCTACTGGTGGAGTGCTCCCTTGTCTGGCAGCAGGTGGGCCCCTTAATTTTAATGAGAAGCTGACTGCTCCCTTTGTTGCTGTCCCTCCTGCAACTAACCCCTGGTTAGCTGCAGGGTCTCTTTCTCCTGTCTTTTTTCATACATTTCATAGATTTCATAGACATTAGGGCTGGAAGGGACCTCGGAAGATCAGAGTCCAGCCCCCTGCCCAAAGGGCAGGAAGTCAGCTGGGGTCATAGGATCCCAGCAAGATAAGCATCCAGTTTCCTCTTGAAGGTGTTCAATGTTGGAGCTTGAACCACCTCCGGTGGCAGGCTGTTCCAGACCTTGGGGGCTCGGACAGTAAAGAAATTCTTCCTTATGTCTAGCCTGAAATGGTCTTGTAGTAGTTTATGACCATTTGACCTAGTCATCATCCCTTGGGGTGCTCTGGTGAACAAACGTTCTCCCAGATACTGGTGGTCACCCCTGATAAACTTATAGGTGGCCATCAGATCACCCCTGAGCCTGGGCTTTTCCAGGCTAAAGAGCCCCAGGGCTCTCAGCCTGTCATCGTAGGGTCTGCTTCCCTGACCTCTGATCATGCGCGTGGCTCTTCTCTGGACTCTCTCAAGCTTCTCCACATCCTTTTTGAAGTGTGGAGCCCAAAACTGGACACAGTACTCCAGCTGCGGCCTCACTAAGGCCGAGTACAAGGGGAGAATGACGTCCCGGGATTTGCTTGAGAAGCATCTATGGATGCAAGCCAGCGTTTTGGTCGCTTTACTAGCTGCGGCATTGCATTGCAGGCTCATGTTCATCTTGTGGTCAATGATGACCCCCAAGTC